GCAACACTGTACGAAAAAAAGCATTTTTATCTCCACTGCGCAAGACTATCTATACATATTCTATAGATATGCTGTTTTTAAATATTTTGTGATATTGCTGTTGAATTGAATTTCATGTAGTTTAGGTTCGAAGAACATGATACTTAATGCAAAACGTTAAAAAATTCCCTTTAGGCGTAATATAAAATCTGAAAGCTTTCGGATAGAGTTATTTTCTTCTTCTTATTATTATTATTTAAAATACAGTTATTATTTTGCTTCTGCATTTTCGATTATTATTTTCATAGTTTTTGAAGTAAGAAGTTATCCAATTGCTTTATGGGTTATGCTGAAAGGGTTATGCTGAAAGGGTTATGCTTTATGGGTTATGCTGAAAGGGTGTTACTTTTCTGCTGAACCATAGAATTAGCTCTAGCAACACGTAGCAACTACTGTAGCAACATGTAGTATTTTGGACCACTTTTGATCAATTTAGAATAAAGGATTAGCTTCATCACTTAAGATCTGACACTAAAGGAGCTTTGTTTTGCTACTGTACTAAAGAGATTATTTTTTTATCCTCAGTAGAATGTATTATTTTTTAACTAATATTCATCATTTTTGAGTAAAGGATTAGTTTGCTCACTTAAAACTTGATGCTAAAGAGGTTTTGTTTTGCTACAGTACCAAATGATTAGTTTTTTTCCGCAGCAGAGTGTCTTGTTTTAGATTAATATTGATCACTTTTGAGGAAAGGATCAGCTTGATCACTTAAGGCCTAATGTTAAGGGAATTTTCTTTTGCTACTTTACTGAAGAAATTCGTATCGATTTTTAACCAATATTCATTAAGACACAATAACACGCCCAGCAAATACTAGTTCAGAAGTCAAACAACAAAAATCAGCGTTATATTTTCAAATTTTTTACAGGATCAGTTTCGATGGTTTTACCGAATCACGCGCTCCGCAGCTGAGGATCATTAAAGCAGCTGAGGATCATCTAACTATCATTTGCGCAGCGGAGCGCAAAATGAGCCATTTGCGCTCCACAGCTGAGAATGGTGGTTCGGTAAAACCATCGAAACTAGTCCTGTAAAAAATTTGAAAATAAAATGCTGATTTTTGTTGCTTGACTTCTGAATCAATATTCATTACTTTTGATAAAAGGATTAGACTGATCGCTTTAAATATGACGCTAAAAGGAATTTAATTTTAAAGTAAATCAAAGGATTTAGCTTTCCTCCTAAGTAAAATATGTCATCTAACATTCTTATGTTTCATTACTAATGAGATATGCTGAAAAATACTTTTGAATGACAACTAAAATACAAGGATTGAGAAAGTAATTGCTCTTGTAGAGTCATTAAGTTATTTTGAAGTAGAAAAAGTGAAAAATGTTCAATGCCCTCTTCGGGACTCGAACCTGGACCTCTCGAATATGCGCCGAGTGTGCTACCATTATACTACGAAGGCATGCATAAAGGAGGGAGAAAATATCTTATATACTTCCCCATTTTAAAGAGCGACTGGGGATTAGGGGACCCATTTGCCAAATCCTGGTAGTGAAGAATCATTATCCACCGCCTTTTAGTTCGGGAGGCACTGTAGAATGATTTAGAATTTTTTTCGATGTCAGGAAACTGAAAAAATGAGCAATTGCCTTTCTGAGACTAGAACCTGGACCTCTGGAATACGCGGCGAGTGAACTACCGTTACACCATAAAGGCTTGCAGAAAGGAGGGAGCTCCAATGATTCTGATATCATCTCTGCATTAAACTCAGAACTTCTGTCCCCATACACACGCTCTTACCAAATCAGCTATCCAAAGCTAGTAACCTTACACTCTTTGGTTATATTTTATTGGAAAATGATATTCATTTGTGAGCCTATTTTTTCATTCAATATTATCAACCAATTTTATCATCATTATTTTTTGCCAAAGAAAGTAATTACGTTCTTTGTATTGTGACTTAACGATAAAGCTTTTATTAATAATTTTAATAAAGATAAAAATTATAATATTTGCGACCTTCTTTATCTTTTTGACCTTCAAAAGCTAAATTAAAGATTAAGATGAAAAGTCAGTGAATATAAGTTTTAAAATAGTCAAAGAAGATAATTCGAAGATTCTTGTGGCTATTCCCTTTAATGTTCTAGTTTGCTTTTGCGTCTGAAAAATTGGTTATCCAACTAACACTATACAACTCAGACCAACAAGTTGTTACTGATTTATATAAAAGTAACTTTTAAAAAGTTTCGATTACTTCTGATAGCTGTTTGATTCCTATTTTCCTATATGGCTGATTAAACGATATTTTATTTATTTTTAAGTTATGAACTGGTACACATTTTTACACGATCCTGTTCATTTAACTGCAATGTTTGGTTTTTTTTTCACTGAGGCAGGGAATATTTTATAAATACCAGATTTCTGCTCTGATTCGTTCGAATGCAAATGTCGTTACATTTTGAAAGTACTTAAGCCCCACGGATACACCGTAAGATGAATGGAAAATTTCTGCAAGGTGCTCCAGTGTTTTTCCTTTTTTTTTTCCTCTGTCTCTCTCTCTCTTTTTCTCTCCACATCGCCGCAATTTTATCGGCGGCATCGAAGAGTAACTCAGTGCATTGCTTCTCTCAACTGAGTAAGTTATGGCTCCTTTTACGGCCAATGCTGATCCATGGGTCATAGCCACAAGTGGCATTTTTCTCTTTTAACAGCTTCCGGGGATCGCTAAAAGGTCAATTTCATTGGGTTGTGAAAATGACCCCTCATCCCCCTCATACTCTACCTTTCATAGTGAATCCTGCTCTAATTTACAACTCATAGTTTAGTGTGTGAAGGAACAAGAGCATTCATAAAATCAGTGTAATTGACGGACTTCCGATGTCCTCATACATTATTGCAAATAACGCGTCAAGTTAATTTTAATTTTATTTGCGTTGTTTTATGATATTATTAAGTGTAATAGATATCAAACAAATGGAAGTTTATAAGCGAATGACAACAGCCGTATATTCTTATTGAAATTTCAGATGTTTAAAAATTTGAGAAATATAATCTTTACTATTTACCACGATGAGATTAATTTCGAAATGAATCCTGTTCAGGAAATATTTAATGCATAATAACTTAGGTACTTTCTCCCTCCTTTCTGCATGCCTTCGTGGTGTAACGGTAGCACACTCGGCGCACATTCGTGAAGTCCAGGTTCGAAACCCGGCGAAGGCATTGCTCATTTTTAATGTACTTCTACTTCAAAACGACCTAATGACTCTATAAACTAATGACTTGAAGAAAAAAAGAATTTAAACTGTTGCACAAATTAGGGTGGGATAAAACATTCTGAAAAGTGTGACAGAAGACAATAAACCAGAAATCCAGTTTTCTTTTCTAATGCCTTTTATACATTAATAGTTAAATAATTAGAGAAAGAGAGTGATATCAGGAAATACAAAAACATCGATCTTATTTTACTTTTATTGCATTTAAAATGACCAATATATTTGTGTTCTACCGAATATAAAATGCTTTATCAAAATCTAGAAAAAAGTAATATCTGATATTACGAATTTATATCAACCCTGTTTTTTATTTGAAATTATTATAGATAAGTTTCCTCTACCTTTTTATTATTAATTATTATTCTATTTGTTTAAAGCCAGCTGATTTATTTGAGTTGATTTTTCAGTTTCATTAATTTCTACGCTTTGCTATAAAAAGATACATTTTTACTTTCATTACACGGTAAAGCAACAATTTGTTAACGTGCATCATACATTGCGAAGCCTTGAGCTTGAATAAAATCCACCTTAGACAGTGAGTCTCAACTATAAATAGTCATTACATAAATTTGTGTCTTATAAATTAGTTATTATATTCTCTCTATTCGGTTTTTCTTCTTGTGATAATGGGGGAATATATGTATGTAATATTTTTAATGCATAGTAAGAATCCAGTACTTCTGACTATAAGCATGGCTGGGTGGAAAAGGCAGAAGCAAGACATTGACAAAACTGAATTGAAGAATCACCATATTTATTTTTACACATCACAAATCACCTCTTTGGCAGACAAATTACTTTTAAATCGTCGTTGAATATAAACCATTTTTAGATACAAAAGTAGAAAGATACGGCTTCATTACAGGCAGGAAAGCATAAGTAGCGTGGAGATATTGGCATGGAAGGAAGTTAGGATAAAAGGAACATAGTTCCTCGCGAAGCGATATTTATACTGCGTATGTGCATATATGAATCCAAGCAGTGACTGGTTAATTTTAGTTTTAGGTACTTTTTTCAAGCAGTGTTATGTAATTTAGAAAGATCTCGAATTTGGGAGAACAGATGAATTTAGGGGAACAGCAGCAAATCTAGAACCGTTAATTTTAAGTTTGCCAATTATTCTTAAAGCAGTTATCGTATTTTCTTATATCTTGCATAAGAATATAATTATATCTTGCACCCCACCAGCGGCCGAGCGGTAAAGTCGCTGAACACTGGTAGTTCGGTCCGAGGTTTGAGTCCCGCGAACTGGCTGGCTGCATGGGTGTTTTCGTGGTTTTCCCCATGTGTAACGTGTATACGAGCCAGTTTCCCTTAGAAAGTCCTCCGCGAAGGCATCCCTCCCTTTAGGAAGATAGCCCTAGTGTTGCCATAATTAAATACACCAACACACCTTATATCATGCATATTCCCTCCCCCTTTAAAAGAAAGGTCGGAAGAGCAGGTGGCAGAAAAGAATTAATGAATTAGCGAAGCAAGAGAAAATGTATATGAGAAAAGCATCAGGAACATAGCCGGCAGGTCTTCCTATGCCCCTTCATGATTCATGACCTTTCTCTTATACAGATTACGAAATACTTAACATATAATTTACAATATCTTACACACACACATGTACATGCATTTAAATCTGATTATTTTTAAACTTAAGCGTATGAATTAGAGGCTACTTAAATTGAATTATTTTGTATTTGTGGCTAATAGTTAATGAATTCTTTTCTTCTTCTGTTTCAGTGACTGAAACCGTTGTGACAAATCCTCTGGAATGGACTGGCAATGTGACTGTTCGTAAGAAGCGCAAACCTTATTCGAAGTTCCAGACGCTGGAGTTGGAAAAGGAGTTCCTGTTCAACGCTTACGTGTCGAAGCAGAAGCGATGGGAACTGGCGCGTAATTTGAACCTCACAGAGCGCCAGGTGAAAATCTGGTTCCAGAACAGACGGATGAAGAGTAAGAAGAACAGTCAAAGAAACGGAGAGAATAACCAGAATAACAACAATACGGTAGTCAATGCTAACGGACAGACAATTGCGCAATCGGTTAAGTAGCTGGTCTCCTACACTGTGCTTGAGTCGTGAGTTGCTTCTGGGACAAACCTCCATTGCAATATGTCGTCAAATACAAACATTCCACGAAACTTTTGTAATGAACTCTTTCAACAGCGACAGCTGCCACAAAAAATTCTTCGTACCACTCTGCGTGGATAGCTTTCACTTACAGAAACATAACTGTTGATGCCATCAGAATAACAAAGTACAATCCTGAATTAATCTGAGTTCTTTAAAGCATAAAATTTATAATACAATGCACTCCTGTAGTTGACTTCCTCAGCGTTGAAAGAAATTTAACAACTTTTCGAACTGACTCACAGTACCTGAAAGCAACTTTCAGCGGATTTAAATTCTACGAATATATTTTTCTCATTTTTCATTTCAGAGACTTGTTAATTTTCAAACAGCGTTGTTTGTCTTTCGCGCCTCTTGAGAAAAGAAGATGTAAAGAGTTTCTTCGGAAAGGAAATAGAACTAGAATAAATTTAGCTCCAGCATTACGGAAAATTCTAACTTCAGGCATCCGAAACGACATCGCAAAACTGTAGTAAAGTAACGACAATATAAATGACATGCAGAACAAACATTGGTGGTGTGTGTGCATTGTTCTTAGCTATATTTATTGCCTTTCTTTGAAAGTAGATGTAGGATATTTCACTCAAAAGACTTTGTATCATAGTCTAGACGTAGGATCCAATGTCACACGTGCTCGGGCACTCATTCATTTTCTATGGTTGTGTACCTGCTTCGAGATGTACAGATTGTTGTTATTTGTTGCATAGGAATGTATAACGCGATTTGTATTTTATAAGTGTTCTAAGATTTTTTTTTTTTTTTTTTTTCAGAAGAGAGAGAGAGCAGCCGACACAACTTTTTCATGCATTGTTATGTGTTCCTATGATTTTTGTTTAATACTATAGCCTATTACATTAAAATAGGCGATTCAAGGCCGTAGCGTCCCTACCCTCATTTACGATCAAATATGTGTCGTGAGGGAAATAGAAGATTATAACAAATTAAAAGATTCGACCTTTTTTCCGCAGCAGTCGTTGCTATGCTTGTGAGTCATGATTTGGAGGAAAGAAATGACCTTGAAATGCCTATTCTAAAGTAAGAGACTACAGTTTATGAATTGCAGTGATTGCAGTTTTAATTTTGCACCACAATGTCTATTATGTTTCCATAATTTATTTAAATGAAATTAATTGTAAATTGAAATACTTATAATTGAGTATGCATAAAATGCTTCTCCGTTCATTTAAGATACGCATATGAAATAGGGGTAAAAATTATATGATATGTGTATCTTATAGGAATTCAGAAACATTTTAGATATAACCATTTCTTTTAAACTGTGAATAATTAAATTTAAATTGTTTCTATTTAGCTGAAGCTGTTAGAAAACTCTGCATCTTTTTTATATGAAATATAATTTAAATTTCTTTGCAGAATGTATGCTTTTTCCCTCTCGAGTGTCATTTTAAGTTATATATTTCAGAAACTACATTTCTTTCAGTACTCTAAAATTTTAAATAATACATTCAAAATACTTACAGCAGTATCTGTTTCTGATAAATTAAAATCATAAACTATTAAAATATTTTAAAATTTAAAATTACAATTTTTAAGTATTCTGATATTCCATTGAATTATAAATTAATTAATAATTTCCCAAAGAAAATACAGAAAGTAGAAAATTAAATAATTAATACCGACTATTAATATTATTTACAGTTTTTTTAGTATGTGTTATAAAAAAAGTCTTCTCAAGTTTATTACTGATGGAAGTAATATTTTAATTTATTATCATCATTTAATTAATTCAATAAAAATTTGTAAAAATTAATAAACCCAATATAGAGAAGTGAATTCTACAACTGAACGAACTGTTCAGTAATATATCAATATAACAACTGTAAACATTCAATTATCTATACATTCTTTCAATCTCTTTTTAATTTATCTGTACTTATACTAAAAATCTATAATCAAGAGCAAATTAGGTATTCAAGATTTGCCAGTGTAATAGGTGAGATGCCTTTGATGAGAATTTTATAAGGAGAATGATTTTTACTCATGTTGCAGCGAAGTTGATACCTCGCCGGAAAACGAATCCTAACAAAATGAATCCATTTTCAACTGCTAGTACTCCGTGGCTTTTAGACATTTTGCTTTCGGGATATGACCGATGTTAGGTGATCAACGTTTCCTAATTTTCAGAAGGAGTGAGTGGCAATAATACAGTTAAAATTGGAACATTTTGCAAACATACCAACAGAAAGAGAGAAAGTCTCCTTGTTGAAACTGTAAACTTTTTTTATTGTACTTTGTTTCTGGTTAAAATCTCTTGTTTTTTATAGAATCCAAAGAGAAATTTAATCAACATATTGCTCATTGGCAGGATCAAGTCTTAATCAATTTTAGATTTTTTTCCTTAATAGATACACCCTTCCAACCTGGTTGATTTTTCTTCCTTTCATATATTTTAAATAGGGCTAAAGGAAATGTTATTATTTAAAATATTTTAACAGATATTAATGATACTTAATAACAATATAATATTTCATTTTTAATTTTAAAAATAATTGAAATATCATGGAGACACAAATCCACAAATTAATAACTGAAAGAAAATAATTTTCTGTGATTTTGAGACAGTTATCCATTTTGTTCTGTCCTTAAAGCTCTTCTCCTCCCATCCGAGATCCCCATTACGGCTAATCATTATTCATTATTAAAAAAGTTGATAGAAACATTAATGCTGTTTTTGCATTCCATCAAATAATTACAGTTTTATACTTTAATATGTTTTGTAAAAATACGAAAGGAGCATTTGTAAATCTGTTAAATGATATTTAATTTTTATACAGCTTAAGTAATTTACATATTACACAAAAATGCAATATTTGACTGTTTCCATGGTGTTTTCCACTCTTTGCCAATTTATTATTTCGCGAAGCAATCTCATTTATTAGGAAAGAACATTACTGGTGATTTAGAAACAACAGCACTTCGTATTTCGTTTTGTTCTAACATCCAACCATGCATTACTGATATTTTCTTATGCAACACTGCTCTGTCTTATACATTACTGTCTTTTCTTATACATTACTGTCTTTTTTCATGCATTACTGATCAGATTTAAAGTTATAATCTAATTTCAAGTTGAATCTGTTTAATATTAAATTTTGGAATTTCCAAAACATGTGTGAGAGGCTTTTACAGTATGCTAGTATGCTATAATCCTTCACCTTTTACCAACTGATTGTGACAAATTCCATTAGCGCGTAAAGGATTAGAGGAAGGGAAGAAATGCTGTTGTGGAGGACTTTCTGAGAGAAGCTGGCTCGTGCTCACTTTATGCTGCGTGAAAAACCATAGAAATGTTCACGAAGCTAATCCCGTTTATTGGTATTTTAAACGGGGTCGAACTACTGATGTTAACAGTCTTATCCACTTGGCCATTAATAGGCCCATAAACATTTAAAAATTTGTATTTTAGTGAGCTTTCAATAAAAAATTATGCAATTAATATATAGTGAATGCATACAATCATGCTTTAATCTAAAGTGCTACGTAGTTTTTTTATTTAATCAGATGATACTTACATCTTTCTTCATGAAAAGTGCTTGGTTTGTTTAATTATTTCAAAGCTTGGTTTGTTTAATTATTTCAAAGCAAAAGTGCTTGGTTTGTTTAATGGCTATCTGCCTAAGGGAAAGGATGCCTTCGTAGAGGATTTCCTAAGGAAAACTGGCTCGTATACATGTTACACAAGAGGGAAAGCACTAAAACGTCCATGAAGCCAACCCATCTGCCGGCATTCGAATGGACCGAACTACCAGAGTTCAACGATATTGCCGCTCAGCTGCTGGCGGGCCTTCATGAGAGAATACGGAATATCTCTATTATTATGAGATAAAAAGTAGGGAATAAAGAAAAGAGGAAAATGGTTTTGTAAATAAATTTTAAATGCATGATACCTAATTAAAAATCACAGTTTTAGCATTTATTATTTATAACGTGTTAAATAATAAAGATAATTATAGTAATTAATTTTAAAATGTAAGGTTAAAAAGGCATTTAATTATTAAGATATTGTTTTAAAGAAACGTTTGGTGTGTATACCGGATAATAACTAATTTTTTCGTTTCTAAGTCATTTAAAAAAATTAAATTGCTGTTCTTTTCTTATAATTTTTAGCTGTGTGTAATACAATTCTTACTAAGACATGTGTGAAATTTTGTGCATATTCTGTATGTTCCCATTTTTAATTTCTCTATTTTTTTCATTCAGTTTCATTTCAAATTGTACAAATCAATGTTCAATAGAATTTATTGTTCTTTTATTTAATTTTTTCATTTATAAATGAATTTGGTTACCCAGACTTGTTTTGAGTGCCACGGCTGCCATTATTATTTCCTCATATTCATTGTATATATGATGTTAACATGAGATGTGTCTGTGTTTTAGAAATAAATGTTGAAATCATCCAAGACCAAAGTAAATGCATGTGAAATTTATCTAAACGACTTCTTTCCTTCATAAACATTTTAAAAACATTTTTACTTTAATTCCCTATATAATAATTCCTTATAAAATAGTTTAATTCCCTATATAATTATTAATTTTTTAATAAAATGTGATGTGGACACCACCTAATTTCCTTGAACGACCTGTTAAATAACACGCAATTTCTCGCTGCTTGCATTTAAATTTATTTCCACGAATTAATTTAATTAACCGATTTCTCAAGGCAACTTGAAAATGACATAAAAAACTGCAAATTTTGGAATGAAATATCCAGGTCAATTTTTCTTGTACGAGAGTCAAACTTCTAGTTTTATTTTTTTCATAACGAGTGTAAAACTTTCCCAAATAAGTACATGAACAAAGAGATCGCATTTAAAGTTATATTTCTTTATATATATGGCTCTGTCGACTGCAATAAAAAAGGGAAATGCTCAACTAGAAGTTATAGCAGTCCCCATGTACAAAATTTCAACGTTCTACGACTAATCGCTTTTGGGTTAATGCGAGATTAATACATACATATATGCATGCGCACGTGCGCACAGACGCTACGACAAAAATCCCTTTTGAACCTACTTTAAATCCCTTTTACAATTCGTTTTTGGAAAAAAAAAAAAAAAAAAAAAAAAAAAAAAAAATCTATTATTCTGTTTGTCAGTACAGACGTCACGACAAAAATTCGTCCAAAGGGGTTCGGGAACGGTCAAAACGGAATTTCTGCTGAAATATGATACCTAAAATTTTTCGCGATTACAATACTTCTTTTACTTCGAAGAAGAAAATAAAAACATAATAATAAATTTATCTGAAGAATATTTAGGTTAAATAATATAGGTCCGCTTACATTAAAAATTTTTTCCCTCCTATTTGTTTATTCATATCAGGTAAGATTTCTAAAATTTCAGCAGAGGGAAGAATTTTCTTCCCCCTTTTGTTAAAAGTACACAGTTTTTAAATATGAGCTTGACTGTGATTGATCTTTTTTTTTAAAGAAATTATTTTATATCTGAAATACTTTGTACTTCAAACAGCGGGGAGAATTCAGAACTACTTTTATGATTTAATTAGACATTTAGTGATAAAATCCAAGTAAAAATATTGATATTTGCAAGCGACAAATAGATCAAATGGCAAACACAACAAATGACAAACACGCGAAAGAAAGATAAAGAATAAAATTAATAGCCGCATCATCTTTGCACCATTATGCTTTAATAGCTGAATTTTTTCCGTTGTATTTATATAGTATTGTAGGAACAAAAAGAGATATCAATAATTTAGAAATATACATTACAGTGAAAGTTAGTAACTAAATCAGCGACGTACGATGCAGGTATTTCAGATTGAAACACTGGAGTCGAAAATTTTCAGGGTTATTACTTTTCTTTTTAAAATAAAAAGAAAGAAATGTTTGACTCATGCAGTAATATGAAAGATCTGCTTAGGTGAGAGAAAGGAAGAAAAAATAATTATGATGTAGCGAGTTCTGGAGAATTGTATATAATGTTTATTATCTTTTCTAGTCATTCCTGGTCATAAGATTACATCTGATTTCTTTCAAACAGAGGCTAGTTTAAATGTACTAAAAAATAAATTTATTCCTGCTAATTTATGTTAGGCGTTAGTCTGTTTTCAAAACTTAGCTGTCTGACAAGTAGTTTCCTTATCAGACAGTCAGGAGACGCCTTGTTCTTTCTCCTAGAAGCTGCATTTCTGAAAATATATGCAACAGCAACAAACAAACAACAACGAAAAAAAAAAAAAAAAAAAAAAAGTAGGTTTTTATCTTCCAGTATTTTCTACAAGAGTTAAATTTCGGTTACTTTGACTTGTTTTGACCGGAATTTCCTATGGACTATACTGTGCATTAATCGAGTTTGTTTTGCAGTAGTTATAGTAAACCCCTCTAAAACAGTGGTTATTTTCTTATTTCTGGCTGTTACAAGTTTCACTCTTTCTTAGCAACTTTTGCAGTTACTTACAAATAATGAACTGGAAAAATAATACTTTTTTTTAGCCCGAAGAAACATTA